TAATAATAATAATAATAATAATAATAATAATAATAATAATAATAATAGAATCCTACTGGCCAGGTGTCGGGCCTCCTGCAGCCCTGCGTGTTCAGTTGAGAGAAATCTTGGGGAGAAATCTTGGGAAAAGGTAGAGAGCTTGGTGCTCCACTCCACTACCTGCTACGATTTGGGGATTTTTAAAAAAGATGTTGCTTTCAAGATGCATTTTTAAAAACTGCGCGGGCGGAGACGAGGGCAGAAAAAGATAAAATGCACCTCTCCTTGTTAAACCTTCATCTTACAAACTGGGTTTATTCTTACATAATTAGCCCCCAACAGCGTTTCCTGCCCACCCGAAGGAAAATCTGTCCTCGCGCGACGACCCGAGGAAGGAAACCCCTCCGGATCCCAACGCAGCAGCGCCGTCTTCGCACCACCGCTGGGAACTTGCCAAGCAGCTGCACGACGGAACGGGGGGGGTGGGTTCTGGATCGAGCGCAGCCAGAGCGCCCGGTTGGGCAGCGGTACCCGGCGTGGACTGCCCGCCTCTGACTCCGCCTGCCCGCCGCGTGTTGCCGGCTTCTCCCCGCCCCGCGAGTGGGAGGCGGCTGCGGGCGAAGCAGGTGGGACTCGCCGCTGGAGCCGCTGCCTGCCTGCCTGCTTCTTTCCCTCGCCGGACCGGCCCTTCTCGACGGCGCGGGCTCCCCGGGGCTCCCGGCAGGCGGTGACCGCCGAGGCGCTTCGAGGAGGGCAAGCGCGCGGAGCAGAGTCTAGCCAGGCCGGCGGGCGGGCGGTCGCCTCCTTGGCGAGCCCGGGGACCCAGCGGAAAGGACGCGCGCTCTTCGGACAGCTGGATGTGCGAGATCGGGACGCGGCCCGCGCTGGCTGCTGGCGAGCGAGGGGGCGAGGAGACCCCGCCGGCCAGCGCGCTCTCGCCGCCCAGCTTCGCGGCCGGAGACAAGTGCCGGGAGATGGGGTGAGTGTGAGCCGGAGCGCGTCGGCGGGAACCGCCGCCCGGCTTGGGGCGCAGACCCTGGAGCGGTGTCTCAAGGCTGGGAGGCAGGGGGTAGCCTCCCGGTTGAGCCACCCTCCGGGAGGAGACTTCCCTCGGAGTTGGCAGGAGGCTGCCTTCCCCAAGCCGGTGCCCTCCAGGGACCCCGCGTGCGCCCCTGGCCATCCTTCCCTTAGTTCGCTTAGACCGCCGTCCCCAGCCAGCGGAGCTGCCCAGCCCTTGCTTTCCAGACCTCCTTCCACTACAACTCCCATCATCCAGCCCTGAAAGTACACCGGACCTCCCGCTCGGTTCCAAGAGCGCGTTTCTTGGGTTGCCGCCGATGGAGCCAAATCCTCGATCCGGGGAGACGGGTGGGAGGGTAAGGCAGCGGCGGCGGCGACCCTCCAGATGTTGCACCACCCTCGCTGGTAACTCCCGGAAGAGATGCTGGGCTTGAAGGTCATCGACATCTGGAGGAAGGAGGGCGCCGACCTCTCTGCCTGGCAGAGTCCCTGGTGCTGAAACATTCTCTGGAAGAAATGAGGTGTCCTCAGGTGTGTGGGGGGGGGCGGGGGGGACATGCCTTGGTTAGCAACAGAGAAACTTTAGAAAAGGTGGTTTGCGGTGTTGCCAGCTGCTGTTCGCCTCTGGCAAGGCAAGCTCTCCAAGGCTGAGGCTGTGCTGGAGCACTCTTGGGGTGGCAGCGCGCCAACCCAGAGTTCAGGGCTTTGTCTCTGGGCCTGTGTGCCCCCCTGACCTCCTCCCACAGATTTCAACTTTCTCAGGGGTTAAAACAGGACTCTTACTTAGACCAGGGGTTGCTGTTTTTTATGCTTAGGGCTTGGAAAGAGCTGGGAAGAAGAGGAGCCGCTGCTTTCCTTACAGCTGAAACAAGGGTGGAAAAAGGGGCTGTCACTGAAAGGGTGGGGTCTCTCCCACAGCCCCCCCCCCCCAGACTACAGGCGTCATCAGATCAAATTCCTTTAGTTGTACCACACATAAGTCAGCAGTCAAAGCCTTGCTAGAATCTGCTGACTTTATGCAATGATTAAGCCCTGGTGGGCATCCTTTAAATAAGAAAGGGTGGAAGAGGACAAACGGAGTAGATGCCGGGTGACATAGGGATAGCGGGCATAGTCTGGAATCTCGCATTAAAATATTGATGCCTTAGGGGTATATCATTTTCCCTCTTTCTTCCCTGGGTAGATATTATTCCCACAGTGCCTTTGTAAAATGGACTATAGGCTAAGCACCCATCACTGGTCTGAATTCGCCCTGTCAGTTTTAAATAGGAGGAGATTTGGGTAGCCCCTACTAGCTCTCTGTCCTGGCAGGGCTGATGACTGAATCCTTCCTTTGTAACTCTCCCCCCATGGTTGGTGTCTCCTCTGAGGCAACGTCTTTCTGCAACTTCCAATTTAGCACCGCAGCTCCCTGTTACAGTGTCTGTTTATCAATCCTAGCGAATTTGTGAGATCAGGCTGCCAGTTCCGGTATGGCAAGCCAGGATTTGCAAAGCTGGCTACGGGTTGCCAGAATTGCATGCGTCCTCATGTCTTTTAAGAATGCCAGCTTGTTAAAGGCTGCTGAGCCTATTTGACTTGGAGTAGCCCTTGAATGCAGCTTGATTTGTTTCCAAATAAACAGGCATACGAAGGAACTGTGCATTGTGCTGGACAAAAACTAATGGCAGACTGTTAACTCTCAAGTTTATTTATTAAATTATGTGCCATCTGCTTCCCTATCCAAAATGATTCTGGGTAGCTTACAGTGGCATAAAAGTGCAACGAACAAAACATTAAAAGCATTCGTTCTCATTAGAGTCTCTCTTTAGGACTCTTGAGTTCCCAACTGACTGTTTTGTCCAATCTAAGCAGTGCAGTTCCCAAACTTTTCACAGTAGCTTGCAGAAGTAAGTATGTGTGTTTGTGTGTCCATACATGTGCAATAAAAAAAAAAAGATATGAATTTAGCCAAGTGTACTTGAATAGCAATTAAGGTTGTAGGAATTATATCCCAGGTAATTATATCCAGGTAGGAACTTCTCGGATCTTATGATCCTTCATTGTTACCCCTGCTGTCTCTCTCATCAGAAATCTCTTCTTGCTCCAAACAAGGATTTAAGGAAGTTTTAGAGCTATGAACTGGGAGACACTAAGCTAGGGATGCCAAACTCGATTTCATTGAGGGCCACATCAGGGTTGTATCTGAACTCGGGGGACCAGGGTGGGCGTGGCCAGCTTGACATCACTCATGTCAGGGGTGCCTGTGGCCCACATGCACTGCCAGAAAAAATGGGCTCCAGAGCTCCGTTTTCTGCTAGGACGGCCTCCTGCAACCCTCTGCCAATGAAAACAGAGCTCGGGAGGGCCGCATTTTCGCTGGCAGAGACATCACAGGCTGGTCCTTTGCTGTTTCCAGGGCAGCCCCATGGGCCAGATCTAAACACCCCGTGGACCAGATCTGACCCCCAGGCCTTGAATTTGACACCCTTGCCCTTAATGTTTTAATGTTGCCTTTAATGTTGCGCTGAACTAAGACTGGGGAGATGCTGGTTCAAACCCCTGGCTCAGCCTAAGGCTTTTGTTGATGGACTTTTGCTGACTGCTGAACCCATTTCATTTGCTGAGCTGTGGGTTTAAGGTGTTGCATGGTTCCAGGTATTGTGGTTTGTTTATCGAAACCTCATGACTCAGTGTGTGATGCGTAATGCCTGCTCTCTAGGGGCTTTAGAGCTGAGATCTCAGCCTAATCTATTTCTGCCCGGAGCTCCTGGAACATAAACGTAACTTAATAAGGGGCAGCTGACAAATATTTGGATTCCCCTGATTGCATTTCCACTTCTTTTTGGATCAGACTAACTAACCCATCAGGATAATGGCAATCATCTTCTGTTTTATGGCAGGTTTTCTAAAATAAATATCCCTTGATTATAATAATGAAAATGACTGGCCAGTTGCAGTTTGTGTTATTTTGTCAAGTACAGGCATGTGTTTGTGTTTGGGCTGAATTGGTTCCCAGGGCTAAAACAAAAAAAGGTGTCTCAAATATGGATCCTTGAGGTGGAAGTCAATGGCTCTTCAGATAATTGGCTGGCTTGTTTTTTTCTGGCTGGTTGAATGCATTGTTATTGGGGTGCCCAAGGAGACCTTGTGATTTCTCATTACTTTGCTGGCTTCCTATAGCTCTGTTTTCAAAGGCAAATTGATGCAGAATCAATAAATTTTTCCCCTAGCTTCGAAACAAGCAGAACAGTTAAAACAAACAAAGGTTTTGGGCAGTGGTGGGATTCAATTTTTTTTTTACTACTGGTTCTGTGGGCGTGGCTTGGTGGGCATGGCAGGGGAAAGATACTGCAAAATCTCCATTCCCTCCCCACTCCTGGGGGAAGGATATACTGCAAAACCCACATTCCCTCCCCACCACACTAACCTGATTTCCAGCTCTGTTCTCCTGTGCAGGGCAACAAAAGAAGACCCAGCCAATCAGCTGTGGGTGTGGCTTGGTGGGTGTGGCTTGGTGGGCATGCCAGAGGAAGGATACTGTAAAATCCCCATTCCCTCCCCACTTCTGGGGGAAGTTTACTGCAAAACCCACATTCCCTCCCCACCCCACTAACCTGATTTCCAGCTCCGTTCTCCTGTGCAGGGCAACCAAAGAAGAGCCAGCCGATCAGCTGGGACTCGGGAGGCAGAGAATAGATGGGGATATAGGATATAGAATATAGAATAGCCAGTCAGAGGTGGGATTTGCCGGTTCTCCAAACTACTCAAGATTTCTGCTCCTGGTTCTCCAGAACTAGTCAGAACCTGCTGAATTCACCACCTCTGGTTTTGGTTATGAAGCCAGCCAAGCTGGAGTTGCATTCCCATTTTGGGTGCAAAGCAGGACCTTTGCAATGAAGAACGGGGTGTTTTGAATTTGGAACGGTTGGGTTTCTAACGTTTTGCACACAATTAAAAACAGTATTGTGGTAACTCAGTGGGATGGTTTAGCAGGGATTTCTCGTCTTCCTTCCACCATTTTTCTTAATGTCTGAAAGTGTACAGATCTGACCTTGGGATTTGGAGAAAAGACGACAAAATCCCAAATGGAAAAAAAAAGGGTGAGAACAGCCCCATTTTGATTTTGCTTGGTATAAGGTGGGACAGAGAGATATGCAAACAGGATTTCAAAATTTGTTGTTTTAGATTGTTACAATAAAAAGCATTATTTACCGTGCAACATTTACCGTGTCTGCTTCTTTACCTGGCTACCTTAAAAAACTTGTTTTTAAATGCTGGTAATCCTCGAGTTACGAGCACAATTGAGCCCCACATTTCTGTTGCTAAGTGAAACATTTGCTAAGTGAGTTTTGCCCCATTTTATGACTTTTCCTGAAAACCTGTTAAGAAAAAGTTCCAACCCTTCTTTGTACTTAAGTCCATAGAGCATCGTGGTGGCCTAGCGGTGAAGCTAATCACCTCCCGTTCGGAAGGTTGGCACTTCAATCCTAGGTAGCAGCAGATGTTTCTCTCTCCCTGGGCACAAAGAAAAAAAAATCTGCTGTGAACTACACATGGTGTCAGGAAGAGCATCCGGCCAGTAAACACTCAGCTCCTTCCAGTCACCCCTGAATTAGTGACGGAATAAGAGTCGTAAAAGGGGGGTATTTTCATAATTAAGTCCATTAAGGTGGAGTTTCCTTAGAATCTGCAAGGCTTCTTCACGGTTTTCTTGTCACCTGAGCTAAGTTGCTATTTCTAAGATAAGCGCTAACAGACTTGCCTTTTTATCTCTTGATATCTCCTCTGCTTCCATTCCTTCCCAGAGTCCCCACAGCTTCTCATTTGTCCTTACAAATGCTTCCAACCTGTCAGAGTAATTGGTCAAAAAAAGGGAGAGTTGAACAAAGCTGGTTCCAAGAAGGATGTCTCTCTGGTCAATATCTGGGAAGGGAAAGAAAAAAGCATAAACTTTGCAAATTAGTGGACTTTGGGGTGTCATGGATCCCTCTTTCCCTGTTTGGCAGTTTGAATGTCACCAGGCTCAAGGTTGACTCAGCCTTCCATCCTTCTGGGGTCGGTAAAATGAGGACCCAGATTGTTGGGGGCAAGAGCCTGACTCTGTAAACCACTTAAAAAGTAAAGGTTCCCCTCACATATCCGTGCTAGTTGTTTCTGGTTCTAGAGGGCGGTGCTCATCTCCGTTACAAAGCTCTTCAGCCAGCACTGTCCAAAGACGTCTCCGTGGTCATGTGGGCAGCATGACTAAACGGTGAAGGCGCACAGAACGCTGTTACCTTCCCACCAAAGTGGTCCCTATTTTTCTACTTGCATTTGTTTTACATGCTTTCGAACTGCTAGGTTGGCAGAAGCTGGGACAAGTAACGGGAGCTCACTCCGTTATGCAGCACTAGGGATTCGAACCGCTGAACTGCTGACCTTTCTGATCAACAAGCTCAGCATCTTAGCCACTGAGTCACCGTGTCCCTTGTAAACCGCTTAGAGAGGGCTATAAAGCACTATAAAGCAGTATATAAGTCTCAGTGCTATCGCTAAATGTAACTTTTGCCTAGTGTTCGTATGTCTGTCTGTCCTTTGAGTTCTTCCAAAGTAAGCATATAGATTAAAAAATATAGGTTGTCTTCCACTTATGACCACAAATGTGCCCCAAATTTATGTTGTTAAGTAAGACATGTGTTAAGTGAGCTTTGCCCCATTTTATGACCTTTTGGGTCACAGTTATGTGAATCACTGCAGTTGATACATTAGGGTGGTATCCTGTTTGTTGAGTGAATCTGGCTCCGCCGTTGACTCTGCTGGTCAAAAGGTTGCAAAAGGGGCATCACATGACCTTGGGAACCCGGCAACAGCCATACATATGATCATGTGATCACAGGAATGCTACAAAGGTCATAACTGTGAAAAATGGTCATAAGTCACATTTTTCAGTCCGTCATTACTTTGAATGGTCCCTAAATGAACAGACCTGTAACCCGTAAGGCTCAAAACACTTTAATGATAAGTTTAATGTGTGTCTGTCACCATCCAACTATATTGGAACTATATAGGTATTCAGCCGGTTCTGACCAGTTCTGGAGAACCGGAATGGGAAATTTTGAGTAGTTCAGAGAACCAGCAAATACCACCTCTGACTGGCCCTGCCTCCATCTATTCTCTGCCTTGCGAGTCCCAGCTGATCGGCTGGGTCTTCTTTGGTTGCCTTGCACAGGAGAATGGAGCTGGAAAGCAGGTTAGTGGGGTGAGGAGGGAATGGGGATTTTGCAGTAACCTTCCCCCAAGAGTGGGGAGGGAATAGGGATTTTGTAGTATCCTTCCCCTGCCATACCCATCAAGCCACGCCCACAGAACCAGTAGTCAAAAAAATTGAATCCCACCACTGATTGGAACAAAGCCTAATGAATATAATCTTACTCCAGGTGGGTAAATCCTTAAACAACATCCCTGGCTTTATTAACATGTGTCCCTGAGACAAATTATTTAAAAAACAACAACCGCACATGCACACACACCCTGACAAGCTGATAATGTAAAATGTTGTACAGGGATAATCCTTCTGCATATTTAAAAGCAACTTGGAAGCTGCGGATTTATTTCCAGTTCCCTCTGTGCTTTAATTACTTAGTTCATATTAGCTAATTGTTGCATTTGGACAGTTGGTTGCAAGAGCTATTTGCATGCAAGTAATCAGAATTCAGATTTGCATTTTCCAGGGATGATGATGATGATTTTAACCCGAGCTTTTTAGGAAAGCTTCAAGCTTAATTAATCTGAATTAAGTTCCACTCTAGGTGACAAAATTAGCTTTTAGGATTGGATGTTCACCAGGAGTAGCCTCTGCCCTCTTTCACAGCTGCTCTGCACATGGTGTTTTGTGTGTGACACAAACACCATTATTCCTGTTCCTAGGAACCTATAAAGGTGAGTGTGACCCAGCAGATTTGTAAATTCAGGAATGCCTATTAGAAACCCGTGGCTGGCAGTGTTTTTTTTTTTCCTGTATGTCTTTGAAGGATGATATTCAATAATGCCTTTGATATGACCATTGAAATGGAACAGCCCAGTGGTGGGATTCAAATTTTTTTACTACCGGTTATGTGAGCGTGGCTTGGTGGGCAAGGCTGGGGAAGGATACTGCAAAATCCCATTCCCTCCCCGCCCCACTAACAACCTGCTTTCCAGCTCTGTTCTCCTGTGCAGGGCAACAAAAGAAGACCCAGCCATTCAGCTGGGACTCGGGAGGCAGAGAATAGGTGGGGGCAGGGCCAGTCAGAGGTGGGATTTGCCCGTTCTCCGAACTACTCCAAATTTCTGCTACTGGTTCTCCAGAACTGGTCAGAACCTGCTGAATACCCACCTCTGGAACAGCCCTTATGGGAGATATTTACCCGAGTGAGTTTCGAACAGCTCGACACAATGGACAGATATGGGAAATTCCCTTCTATACCCTACAATTGATGTATCTGCATTTGTGGAGTGGCAGAAGTAGAAACCCTGGCTCACATCCTATTTGATTGTTGCCTGTATCAGAGGGTGAGAGGCAGGCACCTTGGTCTACATACCAGACGAATGACCCTTTTGGATCCCCGTATCAAACCAACTTACCTTATGTGCGGCCAGAATCTGAAGATGACATTTAACACAGCACAGGACTTAAATCAAAATGGTTCGGTTGAGATCGGCATATTTGGGACTGATTGGGGTAGATTGCAGGGGTGACACCGAAATATAATTTTATCACATTTTATCTATATCTTAAATTAATGTATTCTGTTCCAACTTCATTCTAGACTGTATTTTATTTCAGTTTCATTTTAAACTGTATTTTATCCAATTCCATTTTAAATTGCTTTTATCAAATTTTAGTAATAATTTGTTTCTGGAACTTTGCACTTTGATATGGCCCAAGGGCTAATCGATAAAATAAAGTTGAGTTGTGAACAGCCCTTATGCTAGTTGTTGGGCAGAAAGGTGGCATTCCAGGAGTTGAAGGAAAGAGAGATTGAAGAAAGTTGAGCTGAAAAAGGAGTATTTGATTTTTAAAAGGAGGTCAGTTGACTAGTTCAAAGAAGGGGAACAACGTCTTAAATAAAGGCTTGTGGTTGGAGGGCTCGGGTCTACTGTTAAGCTATGGGATTGCTTGCTTTTATTTCTGCTGAAGCTAAACAAATAAGAAACCTTTAACTTTGATAAGCAAAACTTTAACTTGCTTTTGTTTTCAAACTTTCTTGGAAATCTCATTTCACTGCTAGAAATAAAACAGAGCAGCAGGCTTTAGTTCTGCAACAATTTGGAGCTGTTTTCTCAGAGTAAGTTTATAAAGAAGTGAAACTTTCCTTCTTGCAAGTTCTGTCATCTCCATTGAAATTGGTCGTATCTGTATATTGCTTGCGTTTTGAGTAGCTTTTGATCGTAAATAAAGGTGTGATTTGATTTGATTTGAACTGGTCCAAAAGGCAAAAGGTATTTTTGCCCAGTGTATAAGTCCAGCAGCTTGGTTTGACATTGACGTTTCTTTGTGAATGGATGAGTTCTGCTTTTCATCCCATTTCTGTGACTTTGAATGTTTACATGTGGGTCCCCCACTCAGTGGGGGTCTTCGTGTTACACATAAAACAAGGGTACCCCCTAAACACCTCCTTTTGCAAAGAGCCATGGTGGTGCAGTGGTTAGAATGCAGTATTGCAGGCTAATTCTGCCCACTACCAGCAGTTTGATTCTCACCGGCTCAAGGTTGATTTGGCCTTCCATCCTTCTGAGGTCGGTAACACCGATGACCCAGATTGTTGGGAGCAATATGCTGACTCTGTAAAACTCTTAGAAAGGGCTGTAAAACATGGTGAATCAGTATAAAGGTCTACTGCTATTTGGTTAGGTTGCAAGTAGTCTGGATTTCCTAAAGGTACGAGAAAAAGAAATGTTGCTAGTTTGCTATAGTTGAAATGCTATTGTACCCTGAAATTGTCTGGCCTATAATTATATTTCTGAATGTGGCAGGACAAGTAGTTTTGGCCTTTGACTAAGGCAAGAAGCATTTAGCTTGTGGTATTTTGGGGGTGGGGGGGAAGAGACTTAATGCACAAAGAGCAGGTGGAGAGTGTCATGCCTGTTACGCTTTGGGAAGCATTGGGAATGTGGCATTTTCAGAGGAGATATTAGGGGGAAAGCTGGTTGATGAGTTAATACAGGCGGTCCTTATTTTACAATCACAAACATCTCTGTTGCTAAGTCAGGCATTCGTTAAGTGAGTTTTGCCTCATTTTGTGGCCTTTCTTGCCACCGTTGCTGAGTGAAACACTGCAACGGTTAAGTTAGCAACACGGTTGTTAAGTGAATCTGGCTCCCCCATTGATTTTGCTTGTTGACAAAAGGAGATCACGTGACCCCGGGACACTGCAACAGTCATAAATATGAGTCAGTTGCCAAGTGTCTGAATTTTGATCACGTGACCATGGGGATGCTGCAATGGCCATAAGTGTGAAAACTGGCCATAAGTCCCAAGAACAGTTTTTAAAGGGAAGAAATTCAGTCTGAACCCAAAGCACATATAGATTATAAATAAAAACCAACACAAACCACACTGCAGCAATTAACAAGGCAGGGCAGGATAAGGAATTGCAGACTTCCAGAAGATAACAAAACACACACAGTTGGAAGGATGCTGGAACCCAGATAAGACTTGACAAACAAAGATAATTCATGCTTTGCTTCCAGCAAGGTGCTGTGTGCAAGCTCCCTTTTAAAATCCTGTTTTCCTAGCTGCAGCTAATGAAGGGAATCAGGGCCCTTTTCTTCCCCATAACCCCCATAACTCACATTGCTCCCTTCTCCATTCCTCCCTGCATACCCTAGGATGAAGAGGAGGTGGCCCTGGGTCTTCCTCTGAAGGCCCAGCCGGACTGTGCCCTTCCACAGTCACCGAAGCTACACTCCCACTCCCTGTCATTTGCTTGACCTCCCCCTCGGAATCAGATTCCAACAGGGACATGACATTCTTTGAACGGTCCCTAAACAAACTGTTGTAAGTTGAGGACTACCTGTATCCCTTTGGTTCTCCTGGGTTTTAGGAAGGCTGGAAACACCGGAGGACTGGATGGATCTTTTGTGTGCAAAGTGAGATTGCTACAATGCATCCCTTGGTTTGGAACGCTACTCAACATACATCTTCATCTTGCCAGTCCTGTTCTCCGGAAAATAACCCAGTTTTGAGCCAAAGGAGATATACTCCAGAGCAGAATTCTGCGCCAAAGGAACATGGCAGGTTGACAATCTGGATGACTTCCTTGTGACATTTTCCTTTGGCAGTTGAATTAGAGTCACTTTCCAGGATTTGAAGAAGGAAATAGTCTCTTCCTCAAGGGAGACGTGTAAGGGGCTTTATCATTTGAAAGCACCAATGTTCCTCTTTCCAGTGACACATGTTGAGTGGGCAAAACCATCTTGATTGGTCTAAGTCCCTGAATGTCCTATCGTTCAGACCTTCAGGTGACGGAGAACATTGTGAGTCTGTAGTGTTGTGGAGGCATTCAGAAGGTTTACAGGTCGGCCTTCAGAAGAAACCAAGATAGGTACTTCTAGCCAATTGAGGATGATGGATGTCGTTGCTTTTTTCTCTGAAATGTCCTGGAATTTCTTGAGATGTTCAAATTTCACCAGATTGAAGTGATTTTGTGCTATGAAATTCCAAGGGACTCGTAGAAGGATGCTGAAATTTCATCAGATTGGGCAGCTTGTGAAACTGCCAAGTAGGTTTCAGCAGCTGTGTTGGTTCTTCTTCAAAGGATCACCGCAGCGGGAGGGATGGCTTTGTATTCGGACGATGTGTGGACTCTTGTGATCTGTCAACTGCCAGTTTCTGTCTTAGCGCCATGCCTAAACCCAGCCAGTTGTGGCACACTCAACCAACCATAGCTGGAACAGACCATGGCTTAGCACAATGAATCAAGCCAGTGATTGATTGGAAGGCCCTATTTTCAGGCTAAAGGAAATGAATGCTATAATAGCCTGACGGTATGGGTCTACTCATCACCCAAGGTTGAAATGGATTTCTCCTGAACTTTTTTTTTATTGTGCCCAGTTCAGTCCCTTAAACATACCACATTGACAATACCTCACACCAATTATTTAATACATACATGCATACAGACAGACATACATACAGGTAAAGGTGCTCATTACAAAGCCGAAGAACCAGCACTGTCTGAAGACATCTGTTAGACAACGCTGTTACCTTCCCACCAAAGTGGTCCCTATTTTTCTACTTGCATTTTTTACATGCTTTCGAACTGCTAGGTTGGCAGAAGCTGGGACAAGTAACAGGAGCTCACTCCGTTATGCGGCACTAGGGATTCGAACCGCCGAACTGCCGACCTTTCTGATCAACAAGCTCAGCATCTTAGCCCTTGAGCCACCACGTCCCTCTACATCAGGGATCTCCAAACTTGGCAACTTTAAGACTTGTGGATTTCAAGTTCCAGCCAGAATTCTGGGACTTGAAGTCCACAAGTCTTAAAGTTGCCAAGTTTGGGGACCCCTGCTCTACATACATACATCTCTTCAAACAACTTTTTTTCTTGTTCCCAGTTCAGTCCCTTAAATAAATAAGTACATACATACATACATACATACTTGTGCTCTTCAAACAACAGCTGCCTACCTTGGTGGGTTTTATGATCTGAGGTTTACATTATTTATTCCGGGTCTCCACGCTGTTCAGAGTTACATCCATCCTAAAATAAGCAACTTCCTAAAACAAGCAGTTGTTTTTTTTTATCCCTGGTATTGCTAGGAAGAGAAGAGCAAAGAAAAAGGAGCATCTTTCCAAGCAACGGCTTGATACTGATCTTTGCTCGTAGTTCAGACTTCTACCTTTTCCCCTGCTCACGCTGTCTTTCTCTTGGGTCTCAGGTGTGGCTGGTACCTTACCAGTGATTTCGTGTTAATGCGTCTGCTCTGCGAAGAGCCCTAAGAGATTTGCTTCTGAATTATAAATACAGCCCTGCATGTTCTCCCTCTCAGCCACAGGCAGCTTCACCACTTAGAAATATGTCTGCCTTGTGTTTTGGGGGGCTCTGCTGACCTAAGTTAGGTCAGCGGGCCCCAACCTTTCAGGCCCCGGAGACTGGTTCTGTGGAGAGGGGGTTGGTTTCATGCGCTGCCTGCATCCCACCGATGGGGCTTTTGCTTGTTTGTGTGGCCCAGTTTCTGGCATGCTGTGGACCGGTATAAGTCCATGAATTTGGGTTTGGGTTCCCCTGGGCTAGGTGGCCCTGTTGTGCTTGTTGGCTGCCAGCCCCTCCAGCAGCCAAATCAGAGGAGGAGGAGGAGGAGGAGGCGTGAGAGTCAGGGCCAGCATCAAGGCAACCTGAGAGCTCTGAGGGAGGAGAAGGAATGGAGATGGCAGAGGGAAAGAGACAGAGACGGAACCTGGGCTGTCTGTCAGCCCTCAGGTGAAAGTCAACAGCCCCCAGGTCTGGAGGTGGCTGATGAGGAAGAGGAGAAACAGCTGGGTCCAGTGCCTGACGTGCGGATGCACAGAAGGCAGAGGAGAGGAGAGCAGTGGAAATCTATGGGCCGGTCCTTGGGACGGAAGAGCTGCTGGCGAAGCCCCACCCTAGCTCTGGGGATAAAAGGCAGGGGGCGGAGATGGGTAGATGTGGCAGACAACTATTCCTCTCCCTGCCAGAGGGACTTGTTAGCCTGCGGTAAGAGAGAAACGTTTCGGCGGGACTGCCGGTGCTCCTAACAAAGGAATCTTTGAGTTCACTTCAGAGGGTCTGTCGTGTTTGGAGAGCTGGGTCAGAACAGGTCCTTGCTGGAGAAGA